TGCTGAGTATGGGAAAACCACTACTGAAATAATGGACACACTTGGAGCTTACACAGCCCCAAGCACTGTATCAGGAAGATACCTACATCACAACCTGCTCACAGGAGCAAGGGCTCCAATCGACATGCTTAGCAATGGTTCAGGTGTTTGTCACTACAAAAGAATGCTCACAAACATCATCTCAAACAAAGAAACACAGCAGAAAGGAAATAATTTGCAGCTGGCAGCTAAAGGCAGAAAAAGTATTATTTCAAAAGCATCAAAAATCAAAGGATTAGTTCAGCTTTAAAGGTATACTGGGATGTTGATGTTTAAACAGCACAGTAGCATGACAAATGGCATCAGATCTACACTGGCCTCCCTTTCTCTTCAATTTTAACAGCTTTGCTTTCCGCTCCCTTGCAGTAGGAGACAGTTTATTCTGGAAAGAACACAAAGACAGCTGCAATGTATCAGACAAACATAAAGCATTGAGAGACAGAACTGCTAAGCCTTCAATTTCTTTGGAGCCAGTGCTAGATTTAATACTGAAAGCCTTGATTTCCTTCTAGAGCTGATATGAAAGAACTTAAGAATCCAGATGTTTCTCTGGGTAGCAATTCCAGACAACAGCAGGCATCAGGCAATCTGCATACATGCCATCTTTTAAAACAAAGATGGGTGCAAAAAGGAGTCATAGACTGTAGAGCTCTAAGTTTTACATGCTTCCCTGGCACCTGTCCTTGTGTACCTGTCTCTGTAGGGTGCAACTGCTTGCTTTGAACTGTCTTGGAGAAGTGGCATATGGAAAAAAAAAAACCAAACAGTAATTCAGTCACCACAATTAGACCGTTCCCGTCTCCTAGGAACAGGAAGGGGACAAACTGCATTTCACAAACTAGGTGACAACATTTAGAGCTGTCCCAGTCCTGCACGTGGCTTGACCCAGTAATGCTCAGATGAAAAGGTCTCTCAGTTTCCTCTACACATAAATAGTCAAGACAGCTTGTAATTCCCCTAAGCATTTCATTGACAAAAATGCTGTTTTGGTAATAATTTTTAAGGTAGGTCTCTACAACTCTGCTTCTCCCTCTTCTCCTCCACCCAAAGCAAACTTTAACTTGTTCTAGTAACTGCAGCTTTCAGCTATCTGCTCACCTGATAGTGCCTTCTCCCTGCATCTTCCCTACTGCCTCAGGTTTGAACAACTGGGCACTGTCCCTGCTCAGAGCAGCAGTAGGAGACATAATGCTTAAAATGCTACCTAAATAAGCCTTACCACCGAGAATGTAATCAGCAGAAATACAGTGCAAATAGCAACATCAGGAAATTTTTATGAGGGAAATCTTCACCAAAGAGATCAAAAGCTCCGAGAGTTGTGTGATTCACTATGAAGTGTACCTGATTCAATCTTCTTTTCCGCAACTTCTGCAGCGTTCGATCTGAAGTGAGCACTTTGGAACTACTGTGAGCTTCGAAGTATTCCTCCACCAGATTGCTCTAAAAAGGGATAGCAAGATCAGCCACACTCCTCCTGCTATCAAGTTATCCCTCTCCCTTTGCACCCACAAACATGTCTGAAGATGGCCAATATGAGACATAGAGCAAGGATGCACAGAAAGCCAGAAGCAGTAGCATTCTGCCAAAGCTAACCTAGTCAGATGGTTCCTTCCTGAAGACAGAGACAGAAAAGAGATTCTGAGAGAGCTGAACATAGCAATAATTGTAAGGGGGTGTGGGGATCCCTGGTGCTGGAAGGAAATCAGACAACGAAGCTGAACACAAAGCCAGAAAGTAATGTGTGCTTCTTTTGGTGCTATAGGAGTCAATATCTTCATCCTTTCTCAGTACAAGTTTCCTGCTTCATGGTCATCTTAGAACTTCTCCTTCTGGAGCTGCTGCAGATACAGACTAGATTAGCCCACAGGCTCACGTGATGCCTGTCCAACAGGGATTGCTCAGAAGTACAGCAAAAGCCAACCCAGCTGGTTTGATTTGAAATGAGTCTAGCAGTTCTTCCCCATAGTTAATTGTGGTCACTGACAGCTTATTGTCACTAAACATCCCTTCATGCTTCCTACCTCAGGGGTATATTTTCTGTGCACTCACCATCTTGTCCTCCTTAATTTTTTTGACTAGAGCGTTTCTGGGAGGAGGTGTAGATGCAGCCTTAGTTTTTGCTGGGGTCTTTCGACCTGATAAAACAGTGCTGATTTCTTTCTGGTCTTCCTCATCCTCCTCCTCTGAGCAGGAAGCAGAATATTCACTCTCACTTTCTAAATAGGGATCTGGAGCTAAAGCATAAATTTAAGGTTAAAAGCTAGCAACAACTTCTTACACAGAACGCATTTTGCAACATCTTGCTCTCTCACATACATTCCCTATATGTTTTTCAAGCATATGATTTCTAAATATATTTCACAGAAGAGTAAAATCAACGCTTAAGAGGACTGCAAACACAGATAGCCATTTCTTTCCCAGTTCTAGGCTCACAAATTATAGTTTAGTAAAGCTTGCTCCTTGATATCAACTAGGAAACGTAATCCTACCATAAAAAGTGACTAAAAATGGACAATGGAATTCCCTACTACTCTTAGCATCTCTACGTCAGTTTTCCCAAATGCCAATCATGCAAGTTGAGTATCTTCTGGGTCACACTCTGCAAAAAAGGTTTTGTAAAAGACCTCTGTTAGCAGTCTTGACTGAAGAGCACAGACAGAATCTGGCTCAGTCTTGGTCTCTCAACACAAAAGAAGAAACAGAACATGAAATGCCATACACTAAGTTCTCATCTGTATTCATTCTGAGCATGTATAACCAACCAGCTATCACAGAATCATCAGGGTTGGAAGGGACCTCTGGAGATCATATAGTTCAACCCCCCTGCCAAAGCAGGTTCACCTAC